TCATTTCCAGAACACTGCACTTCCCATCACAGTGTACAGCAGACAAGGCTCGTCCCAGCAACCCCAGGAACGAGACACTCAAGCAGGAGTCCAGGAAGTTTCCTTTTGTTGCAGTTCTAGGAAGGTTGGTAGGTTTTATTTCGTTCCCCCTCCCCACCCTCCCCACCCCCCAAGGCAAGGAAATACCTCGGAGGACAGACCCTGGAGTTTGTCCCAGCTCAGTTACAGGGCAGCCACGTGGGGTAGGACTGATTGCAAGGCAGGAAGGGCTGCACGTGGGTCACGTAGTAGTTGAAGTTTATTTCACTGACATAAGGGGCTGGCTGGTAGTAGCAGGTAACGTTTGTGACGGTGGGGATGATGTTCTGCTCAGCCAGGACCCTCACGGCCAGCATGGCAATGAGGTTCAGGGTCTGCCTCCTCTCGTGTCCCATGAGGCACACCGTGCTCTCGTTGACCACCCTGTGCAGGGTCATCAAATAGTCATATCTGTTGCTCTCCATGCCCACAAAGTGGCTCTGGAGGTAACACTCCAGCTTCCTCAGCTGCTCACCGATGTCGGAGAAGTCTATGAAAAACCTGGAGCACATGTACCTCTGCAGCGCCTTCATGTCCACCTCCGACTTGGGCTTGAAGCCCCTGACCAGGAGGTTGCAGTACTTGAGGAGCCCCCCGCCCCGGATCTCCTCGGGGTTCCTGGTGGCGATGACGCGGTTGCGCAGGTGGTCCATGGCCTCCTCGAAGTCCCCGTACATGCTCTCCCCGGTCACCGTGGGGTGGAAGTTCTCGGCCATGGGGTTCTCCGAGCACTCCCCGAAGAGCAGGAGCGAGTCCAGGATGATCTGGAAGGAGTCCACGCTGAACTCGAACTGGCGCCGCAGAGAGTCCACGAACTTGAGCTCCACGTTCTTGCCGCTGTTGTTGGAGAGCGAGATGAGGCTCCAGCGGTCGGTCTCGTTGCACACCTTCACCAGCTTCTGCACATAGGCCTCCTTTAGCGTCATGGGCGTGATCTTGTCCTTGCTGACACCTTCGGGGAGGAAGTCGAGCAGGCAATCCATGACCACGTCTTTAACCAGCTGGAAAACATCTTCAGTCTTCAGATCCACCCCGAAAATGAGGTCCAGGTCCTTGTAGCCCAAGCCGCTGTCCTGGTGCAGGACGTGACTGGCTGCCGAGCCGTTCAGCCTGACGTTGTGCACGGCGACGCCTTTCTTCTCCAGGCGGCTGCGGACAACCTGAGACAGAGACAGAGGCGGTGAGAGGCAGGAGGGAATCCTTGGAGCAGCCTGGGGACAGCAGGATTCACTCCCAGAGCTTATGTGGGTCACTCCAGTGCAAGACAGTAAAATAAAAAGCTAATCCACTGGAAATAGGTCACTCTGGACAGCATCCCAGTCCTGCTCTCCTTTACTTACTCCCTGCCATTGCAGATCTGACTGCACACCATCAGCTGTTCTGCTTCCAGCACTTCCAGGGTCTGCTCTCCCTGCCTTCCCCACACTGACCCCGTTTTTTGGGGTGGTCTCTGCCCTCTTCATCCCCTCCCAGTTCCTGTGACCAGGCCAGGACCAGCAGACCCCAAAGAGACCCCGAGCAGGAGGCGGCAGCACAGCCTGCAGCAGTGCCCTGAATTTAACCAGCGTGGCTCACTCCCTTCAGCCATCCCTCTGGCCTGTCAGGATTCATTAAAGGCAAATCAAGATGCCAGAGCAGCTCAAAAGCCCCAGCCAGGCGTATGCAAGTTCATGTCCCAACTGGTAAGTGTATCCTAACAATTTCCAGTGTGTCAGAGCTTCGTGCTGAGCTTGGCGTGCTATCAAGCACAAGAGGCAGCTTTCATCTTACGGGTGTTACTCCGGTGATTTTAATGCTGCCTGCTCAGTGCTGGCACACCCAGCAGCCCCTCCAAAGCTTTGTTCATTTATGGGGAAGCTGAATCACCTGCCTGATTACCTAACGAGCAGGAGGCTAAAATAACCCCCAAGACCATAAAATAAACTATCTGGACACCAGCTTATAATTTGAGTTAACTCAGCTCAAAGATCCCAGGAAGATAAGGTTTGTACCTTCCAGAAGCTCTTCCCACCTCTCATCCTGCTTTTGTGTTCCCCTCCAGCCATTTCCCATTTTCCTGGGAGTCCCAAGCAGCCAGCCAAGAGCTTGAAAGAGCCAAAGCTGGGGCACAAATGGACAAACTGGATCACCAGGAGCCAGCCTGACCAGGCCCTTTGGCCCTGTGAGCCTGCCCGAGTCCGAGAGGCCCCACAAACTCCACATTTTGGCTGCCCAAAATGGGAATTTCAATTCAAAGCTGTATCAAAAGGGTCAAACCCTCTTGGCTGCCATGGGCCTGAGCAGTTCTGGGTGACATCAGAAGCGCTGCAGTTCTGGTCTCAGCAGCAGTAAAAATACCCCTCCATGGGTTTTGTTTGGAAGGAAGAGCACACAAAAGGTCAGGGATTGCAGCACGAAACCCTCATCCCATCCCAGAGCCTCAGTGACCGCGCCAAGAGCCACCAGCGAGTTCTGCTGCCTTCACAAACACATCCCAGAACAAACCCAGCGATGTTCTCACACCTGGGAGGCTGTCAAGGGCTCAGCTTCCCTGCTGCTGCTGCCTCCCCTGTCTCCCTGACACGAGCCAGCCCTGCTGTGGCCGCACAGGCAGCCGGGCTCCTCGCCAAGCCCGCGGTGACAGTCACATGCCGGGTCACAGTCACCCACCACCGCCAAGCCCCAGGCCCCACCAGCCCAGCCAGTGAGAAAAGGCAGATATTAAACAGATATCTGTTCTCCAAGGCAGATAGCTTGAGGAGATGAACCCGCTCCCAGAAGAGACGCAGGGCCATTCCCCCAAAGGGAGCAGACATCACCCAGGGCAGCTCCTGGCCGGCGCTCGGTGCCAGCTGGAGTCGCTCACCCGGGGCACGGCTCTAGCTCTGCTCGTGGAGTTAAAGAGTTTTGTGCTCTCAGGTTTACAGACACAAGATATAGGTCACAAAGTCTTAGATGCAGAGCTGGGCCCAGTGCTTGGAGCAGATCTCATTCCAGATTAATTTCCTAACCCTAAAGAACATCTGCTTAACCCCTTTCTGGGCACGGCTCAGCACCTGCAGCATTCCAGACCCATGAGCTCCAAGCTTACTCAAGTTCCCCAGGTCCATCTGTGTGAGATACATTCAGAAAACAGGGAAAAAACCCAATTGCTCAGGTCAGCATTGTCCCAAATCATCCCAGAAACCTCCAACCTGCAGAGGAGCAGGGAGCAGAGCACTTTGCCATTCCCTGGGAGCTTCCACCCACCAACCTTCACCTGGAGCTCATTCCCCCTGGCTGCAGGCAGTGGGTTCAGGGCTGCATTTTTCCCCAGAGGGTTGGATATTTCTAGGGTTAGGCAGCTGCTGACCTGCTTCCCAAAACAGCAGCTCACCTTCCGTGTGGTTGGGATAATTGACTGTGACAGCCAGGCAGGAGCAAATCCTGCTGCGTCCTGACCTGCCGCTTCCCACCTCCCAAACAACAACAACAACAGGATAAATAACTGCCTTTTGGGTTACTTGTTCCAGCTTAGTCAGCCCTAAACACAGGGTCTGCCAGCCTGGCCAGGCACAATTACAACCCTCAGTTATCCCGTGTTTGAAGCCGCTGCTGGCAGCATCCTCTGGGGCAGTGCCGACAGCGGAGCGCTCGGTGGGATGGGGAGGAACGGGGCTGGGATGTTTGATGGAGCAGCCCTGTGGGACAGAGGAACGGGGCTGGGATGTTTGATGGAGCAGCCCCTCGCCCTGTGGGACAGAGGAACAGTTCTGGGATGTTTGATGGAGCAGCCCTGTGGGACAGAGGAACAGTTCTGGGATGTTTGGTGGAGCAGCCCCAGCCGAGAGCAGCGTCCTGCCTGCAGCTCTCACCGGCACTCGGCGCTTCTGCCCCTGACAGATGCAGCAGCAACTCGAGGAATTCCAAACCAGCCTTTCAAATGTCACCTTTCCATCTCCCAGGCTTAACTCTTAACTATTTCTCAAGAAGCTGAGGCTCCAAAATCCCGGCTATTGTGAAAGCCGGTTGGGTCTTAGTGCCGTGAATAGGCTTTTTAATTAGAAGCCAACATGCCCGATTTTACATTTGATGAGTCATTACTGAGGAATGAAGTCGCCTCCCAAATATGAATATGCATCAGCTCATTCGAGCTACATTGTTAGTTTAATATTAAACACAGTTATTACTTGATGGTTAAACTAAGAGGAGCTCGTGTATAAGCCAAAGTCTCGGGCAAGCTCTGGAGGATTCAGCCAGAGGTGCCCAGAAATCAAAGGACACGGACATTTGATCCAGCCTTTGAATTAATAACTCTGCCTCTTCCAACACAAGCCCAACATGTCCACCAGCACGAAGCCATTTCGTGGAAGCAGCTCCAAAAAAAGTCACTTTTGCCCTGGCCACACACATTTCACTACTTTTTAGGGCAACAAATTAACTCAAAAAGAGGAGGAACAAGGTGACAGGGGAGGAGGCCAAGCAGGATCTACGGCACAAGCTGCAGCAGCTCCAGGGATGAGGGGAGGTTTTTCAGGAGGGTCCTTCAGCTGCAGCATTGCTGCTGTGGCTGCTGGCAGGGACCAGCCCCAGGAGTGGGAAGTGGGGCCGGCTGAGCACACAGCACCCCCGGGATGATGGGGGCCAACCCCCCAAAACTTTTAACTCCCCCTGGAGCAAGCAGGCCCGGCCGGACAGGACACGGAGCACCCTGCTCTAGGGGAAGGTGTCCCTGCCCGCGGCAGGGGGCTGGAACCAGAGGCTTTTCCCGAATCCCAAACCTGCCACAAGTCAGGCAGCGCTTGGACAAGGCTTTGAGCCGCTCAGCGGGATTTCCGCGGTGTCCTGTGCAGAGCCATGCGGGACTCCAGCGCAGGGCTCTCCCCGCTCCCTGCAGGCCCTCCCGACCCGAACCATTCAGCGGCTCCGCGCTGCCCGGGCCCGGCGGGGGGAGGCCGAGGGTGCCCGGCCGAGCTGGCCCGGG